CCATGTAGGTGTCACCTTGACAATTATGTTTGAGAGTTCAACCTTGAACCATCTTTCCACATGGAAAACTCTGGACCACAGGTGATGTTTGGTATGGTGGTACCATTGCTGTTTCTACCTGAAATGTTTTGGGTTGATTGGTAGTTTGATACAAATTGGTGAGTGATATGTTGTCACATCACATGAGAGTCACTTAAGCTAGAATGATTGGACTGCACCCCCTCTAGAGCAAGTAACATCAATTTTATTTTCTACAAACAGCCTCACACATGCATTTTTAAGGTACCAGAAACATCCTTATGTAACAGTTTTATGCCAATTGTGGGTCAGGAGTTTCTCAATGCACACCTAGCTCCCACCTCTTCCATCCTGTTCCTATGCTCAAAGTACTCAATATTGCTCTGAACAGTTGGGGTGCTTCTTTTGTCTGTACTTAGTGACATTTCCATGGAAATAGTAAACCCATTTTATTGCAGAAACGATCCTTGCAGCGAGAATGAAGATTGTTGTCCATATCTGTCAAGGAAACTGCTCTATCTCCTTCAGAGATCGGAGGTTGTTTCCTTTTTTTTTATCTTGGTTAGGGAGGATGTAATCTTTGTCCTTAGTTGTCCATAATATTCAGTTGCTGTGAGCAAATTGAAACCTCAAGGCTCCATTTTTTTGCAGTGCAATTTATTTATACTGCATTTGTGTAAATGAGAACAGTGTATTTACCTGTGCTTTGGGTTTTACTTTGCTTCAGATTTTATTTTACTTCATCTGCAATGCAAATGGACACAATAAGGCAATGACTGAAGCACAAATAAATCAGATTTTTTTTTGATAGATAATAAATCTGATTTTTTGATCAATAAAATAAACATGAGTTTGCACTCCCATATTTTGTTTTGATCAGTAAATGGTTCAATTCATAAAGATTAATTAAGGAATATTACAAAAAAATTGTGACACAAGAATAAGCACCTTTACAATCCCAAATTACATAATTGTCCAAACAGTTGATCAGTGATGTAGTAGCACTGGAATAAATTATCACAAGACAGAAAGAGAGAGTAGAGAGAGAGAGGAGAAAGGGTAGAGAAAGAGAGAGAAAGAAATCCCAAGGAATCACTCCCAAGGGTCCTGGAATCACTCTTGGGTTTGTGGAAATCAATCCTACTACAAACTTCTGAGAGAACTCTAAAGAATATCTTCATTAGTTTAAAAAGCTAGAGAAAGATCTATTCATAGAGTGGCTGTGTGGCTTGGAATACTGTTCATAATAATTACGAAAATACCACTCCTTGTTTTGTTCCTCAAGAAATGACTTTCTACCTACTAATGCAAATAAACTGAAAATTGATAGAGAATCAAGGTTTAAAATGTCGATGTCGATGGAAATGTCACTTACCAAAATATAGGACATATGTCTGAATAGGGAGACCTCCAACTCTATCTTGATAAGATAAGACTGATAAGATAAGATAAGTCTCTCTTAATCCTAATCTAATAAGATAAGATAATCTCTCTTAATCCTAATCTAATAAGATAAATCTCTCTTAATCCTAATCTAATAAGATAAGATAATCTAATCTACTAATCTAATAAGATAAGATAATCTAATCTACTAACTTAATAAGATAAGAATAACAAGATAGTCTAATCTAATTTGCTGAATGGATAAGATTGTTGCTGTCGAATTGGATAGGATGAGAACACCGGGTCATTGCTGCTGCTGCTCCCAATACGCATCCACATCATTACTCCCCTCTTGGACTACGAGCTTGTCCTCGAGCTCGAATTCAAGATTGGTGTCGGGAAACACCGTCAAAGGAATCCCGGATAGGTGGAATGACTTTGCCCTCCTGGATCGGGTTCCAATGAAGAGGGTTCATCCTCATCTTCCTCTTGTTTCACCAGG